TCCATAATATGTCCTGAGCTCACTGTGGTATGTCATGACCTGTGAAATGGGTTCTTTGGTAACTCTCAATTACCCCTCGTGTGCCATACATGGCACTCAGTGGGGTCAGTCCCTTAATAGTTGCCTTTTGATTAGTTCTTATGTTTATTTTGGCCCATTCATGTATGATCTCCATTATCTCTTGATGACCATATATCAATGTACAGTGAGTTTGCATCAAGCCTGTAACTGTGTCCACAAAAGTCAAAGCATATTTGACCCCTTCCAATAGCGGGAGATGGCTAGCGTAGTGTATCTGCCATCACTGAAAAGGGATGTCATCTTGTTTTATGTGCCTTTGTATCATCTGATTAAATGTCTCTGTATGATGTTGTAGGTATAGCTCCGAGAGCAGGCAAGACAGTTTTAGCATGTAGCAACAATATCATTTTTTTTTTTTGGTACCAGGGATTGAACCCAGGGGTGTTTAACCACTGAACCACATCCCCAGTCCTTTTTATTTTTTTTATTTTGAGACAACTTGCTAAGTTGCTTAAGGCCTCACTATTTGCTGAGGCTGACTTTGAACTTGTGATCCTTCTGCCTTAGTCTCCAGAGCCACTGGGATTATAGGCATGCACCACCGTGCCCAGCTAGGATTCTTTTCTTTTTGGTACCAGGGATTGAACTCAGGGGCACTCAACCACTGAGCAACATCCCCAGCCCTATTTAGTATTTTATTTAGAGACAGGATCTCACTGAGTTGCTTAGTTCCTCGCAGTTGCTGAAGCTGGCTTTGACCTCACAATCCTTCTGTCTCAGCCTCCCAAGCCACTGGGATTATAAGCGTGTGCCACCGTACCTGGTTTAGGATTCATTCTGATATAATTATAAAACCATGGAGTATAATTTGCTTTAACTCAGTTCCTGGTACTTGCCTTTCCCCTCTCCTTCTTCTTCCTCCAGTTCCCTTCCCTCTACTCTATTGATCTTTCTTTTTTTTTCCAGCCACATTTTTTTTATCGGTACATTATAGTTGTATACTATACTGATCTTTCTGCTATTTACTAATATTTTTTAAATTAGTGCCTTGTGGATATACATAATGGTGAGATTCACTGTGGTATATTTATGTATGTATGTAGGAAAGTTATGTCAGATTCGTTTCACTGTTCCTGTCCCTTCTCCCTCTCTCTCACTCTCCTTCCACTACTCTGCTGATCTGTCTTCTATTTTGATGGACTCCCCCACCTTTTTTTTTCCCACCCTTTATTTTGGATTAGCTTCCGCATATCAGAGAAAATATTCGGTCTTTGACTTTCTGGGTCCAGCTTATTTCTCTTAGTATGAGAGTCTCCATTCTATTTATTTACTAGAAAATCCCATAATTTCATTCATCCTGCTTTCTTAGCAGCCACATAGGGTAGTTAAAGGGACTGTGGTTTGAGCAAATTATGTTTATTTTGGCCCATTCATGTATGATCTCCATTATCTCTTGATGACCACAGGAAGCCAGTATTGTTTGGTGGTAATTATCTGGCCAATAGGAAGCTGTTTTATATGCGTCCTTAAGATTGGCTTTACAATAAATAAATAAATATTAAAAGAAAACATGAATAAGCAATCAGCAAAGAAGTAGAAAAAATATATTGGTTTTACAGTTGACACATGTTTAATCTCCCAGCAATGCAAATAGAACTTTCTTACTGTAGAGAGTAAGATATTTTTGTAGTTTGTAGATATTTACCCCATAAGTTATCAATATCTATAATATATCGAGGAATGGGAGCTATAAACACCAGGTGGGGTGGGTGGCAGGAGTCAAAGCTGCAGTGTCAATGTTATGGTTCAGACTCTTAATATTTTCCCCTCATGTCTTTTGAGGCAGCTAACTTGCTTGAGAATTTGTCAGGATTACCATATATCAATGTACATTGAGTTCACATATCCACTAATACTGTTACTCTGAATATTTTTTGAAGAGTAACGTATTGCCAATTGTATATATGGCCTCTGGTCCAGAGACATGGCTGAGACCTCTGTGCCTTGATTTTTTCCCCTAGTCAGCCCATAACCAGGTGTTCATAAACTCCTCAGGGGGAGCTATGACTCTGCTTTCATTATTTCTCCTAATAGGAAAGGCTTGTCTTTGTCTCCTCTGGGCATAGGAGACACATTTACCTTTCTGTCTCCTTCCCTTTTCCTTACTGAGAGGTAATATATGAAACTTTCTGTCCTTTGGCAATTGCTTACATAATTGTACTAGAGTGCCACTAGATTTTTAATTTTACTTTCATCCACTCCTGCTGTTATTAAGCCCACTCACATCTGCTCACAGGAGTCTTGGAGAGATCCTCCAAGTTTTAGCAGGGTTTTTTGGATTTGCATTTTCTGTGGCAATCTTTCTGTCTCCCCTAGGTCTGATATCAGTTGCACTTCTCATTATCCCCTACTAATGGGGATAATATTGATATAGGATACCATAAATGGACAGAGGGGCTGTGTGTAATGCTGCATGCCTCATTGCAACTTTGAAAATCATACTGTCTGGTCCTGGGAAAGGCTGCGTATAAATAGCATGTTTCTCCCCGAGTTCCCACAAATAGTTCTTCCATAGAAACCCAGATGCCTCTGGGCAAAGGAACATCTGATTTTGGCCATGCGGTGTGAGTGGCAAAAAGCAGCCAACCTAGTAAAATGACTCCACATTTTCATCAGTGGCACTGGTATAAAGTTACTGATGCAAAGCAGGGTGAAGAGTTACCAAAACCATTTTAGACAATTCCATACCATCTGACATTATCCCATCTGCTCCAGAGTCCCACAAATGGAACAGCCATGCCGGTATACTTTTTTTTTTTTCTTTCATTTCTGCCTGTAATTGGACCCCAGTTCCTGTAGTTCTGCCAGGGTATATAGAGAGATTTGGTATATCTCTCCAGAGTGGGGGGAGAACATCTGGATCAGTCCCTTCAGGTCACTCCTGCTGGATCTTTAACTTTTGGACCATTTCAAGACTAGCTTCCATTACGGTTTTGTTCTCTACCTCAACTTTTGAATCACTGGAGCTAGTGGACACCCTGAGTGGGTCCCAAATATGAGGATGCTAGTTTTCACTAGTCACTGACACCTTAACATGGGCTCTGCACCTGCAATGTCCCCTTAATTTAGCATAACAGCATGCCAGGAGCTGTAGACATTTGTCTGCAAGTTCTAAACGGTGTGACAGCACATCCTTGCTGTTAGCCTGTATAAAACAGGCATCTCTTTCTAGTCTTAACTTTTCTGTACTATGTGTAGTTGAGCCTGACTAGCTAACTCCTGTTCTGTGGCTAACTTTAATGCACAGGGCAGGGGCCTTACCACCACTCCAGAAACATTCTTTGTTTCCTTTTGCTTTCCCACAACTACTTTGGATGCTGCTTTCAACACTTGTAGCACTCCTCCTTACATTTTGGCATGTCCCCATAGGCACATGGTAGTCCCCATCCCTCTAATATGGAAGCCACCTCAAACCACATCAAGGCTGTGACTAACCCAGGATTTCCTCTCCAGAACCCATGTCCTTCTCCAACTCCAGAGCCAACACAATACATTCCTCTTGGGGATCCTTCTGACTGTGCCAGTTGTTCAACCCCAGAGCTGCAGTATTCCCCAAGAATACTGTTTACCAATCCCAGAGACAGAACTTGGAGGATTCAAAAGAGAGATTTTGGTCATTTGATTATTCACACACTCCTCTGAGGTAGCAGGCCAGGATACAGTGGAGAGCCAAACTGTGCCTACAAGCAGGCACCTGCAGGATAGGCTGCATGCCCACTGTGCAGATGGATATCTTGAGATGTTTTATGAGTGTATTCTTTTACCTTACAACCAAGGTCACTCTGCTTTGATCCTCACCTAAATACTGGAGACACAGAAGTGGCCAGTTTCCCCTCTCCATTTCCTTCTTTATTGTTTAGAGTCCTTACCTCACCACCTAGAACAAGATTTCCTAGGTACTGACTAGGTATACCCCAACAAGATCCAATTTAATTTCCCCTCCATATAATCAATTGTCATAATACAGTTTATTAGTCCATCATTTCTCACTCATTTTTATGGTGGGGGGAAGCAATTGTTGTCTTGAGAATAATAACTATCTAAACAAAATATAAGCAGTTGAAACCAACGAGGTTTTAAATTTTGGGGAGGGGCATACTGGGAATTGAACCCAGTGCCACTTAACCACTGAGCCCAGCTGCCCCCCCTCTTTTAAAAAATATTTTTAGTTATATATGGCACCTTTATTTATTTGTGTGGTGCTGAGAATCAAACCCAGTGCCTCACCCAGTGCTAGGCAAGTGCTCTCCAACAGAGCCATAGCCCCAGCCCTCCCCAAACTTTTTAAATATTTTATTTAGAGACAGGGTCTTGCTGAGTTGCTTAGGGCCTTGCTAAATTTCTGAGGCTGCCTTTGAACTCGCAAACCTCCTGCCTCAGCCTCCCAAGGTGCTAGGATTACAGGCGTGCCCCACTGTGCCCTACCCAACAAGGTGTTTTTGGAAATGATAACAATATTATGAACAAGTTGTTTACCTGGGAATCAAGAATGGTTCATCATTGGAAAGTCTAATAATGTGATTGATCTCATAAACAGGTTAAAGGAAAATATTAATATCATCATCTCAATAACTGCAGAAAAAGAATGTAATAAAATATAATTGCTAATATTTTGTTTTTCCTTAAATTCACTCTTTCTAGAAATTATTAAAAAATTCAGAGCAGAAAAAAAAATCAAACTAGAAACAAAACAAAGAGACTGCAGTGCCTTATTATGGTGTCTGCCCTATAGCAGTCTTTGCTCAAGATGGCTTCATAAGGTCACTTTCAGCCCTTCGCTTCTGTGACCACAAATAGCATCTTTGGCAAACCTGGTTTCAGTTGGGCCTTTGCTCACCTCCTGAATTCCACGCAGGGTCTTAAAAACCCTTGAGGAATAAAAGATTTAAGCCTGCCCAATGGACTCCGTGATTCCGTACTTATAAAAGTGCCCCAAACGGGGGTGGTGGGGAAGGAGGGGACCGATGCCTTAGGAGCAATCAGAGACCGGTCTGCGCGACCTGCCAAGTCACTGGCTCTGCCTAGGACCCAGAAATGAGAACACTCCCGAGACTGGTGGATCTGTCCCTCCTCTGGAGAAAGGATGCGGGCACCCGATCTAAGGTGCAGAATCAAGGGTCCGGCTGTCTGAGAGCGCTAAGAAGCAGAAGCCTCCTAGGTGTTGGTGGCAGGCAGGGTCACCAGGCTTGGGGATCCGGAGGCCTGGCGGAGAGATATACCAAGGGCGGCAGCGGGGAATCAGAAGGCGAGCTAGGAAGCCGCCGAGACTCAGAGAACTCAGGAGCGCTGTTGGGACCTGTGAGGGGTCGGATGTAAGGGGCTGGCTGGGACGACCCTAGCCCAGAGTTCCCTTCTGGTCTACAGAGACGTCCTCTGGACTCGGCGAAGAAAGGAGTGAGTTGAGTGGCTTTCCAGCCTCAGCGGTGCGGAAGTGCAGCAATGACGGAAGAACCAGAGCGGCCTGTACGGCCTCGAACTCAGGTGAGCCACTCTTCCCAGATGCCCCGAATATCCCTTAACATCCGGGCTTCCAGAATCCCTTGCTGCCACCTCAGCGTCTCTGCGCCCCGTGGGCCTGCACCTGAGTCTCCAGAGCATACCCTAGCTTGCCTTGCGCGAGACCTTTATTCCAGGGAGCCCCCTCGACACCCACTGCGCTTGCGCGTCCGCTTCTGCCTTTATTACTTTGCCAGGCTCAGAAGCCAATTGCGCGTGCGCTGTCACTTCACTCTCTGTTTGGAACTGCTGCATCGCCCTCTCTCGGCTCGAAGGTTTACCTGCTGTATGCGGCTGGCGGCTGAGGTTTCCCTGGCACCGGGCAACTCGCAGGCTCTTCATTCCGCTGAGTTTCATGCCCTCCTGCTATTTGGAAAGCTCCGAATTCCAAAACTTGCCCGGCCCAGTCGTTTCTGATGAGGGACTAGGGACCTGCAAGTAACTATACAGGAGCAGTCCTCCTTGAAGGCTTAACGAAGGTGTTCATTTGTACAAAACTTTTGTGGATGTATGTACAGTGGAGTTAGGTGCTAGGTCAAAGGAGCATAAGCAGGTATTCATGCCCAGGGATGGCCTGTGGGACATCCCAGTCTAGCAACCCTTTCATGATTGTATTGCTCCCAGGGTCCTTGCTCCTTGTGTGGGCCAGACAGAACCCAAGAGGCAGTAGTCTTCTAAAGAAGGCAGCCCTGGCAACTCACTCCTGTGACTGTTTCCCGCGTCACTGTCCCTCTTCATTGACCTGTCTTCCAAACTGTGGCAAGGTCTTTTGCAGAATCCTGTCCTCCAAAGCCTCTTCTAGTACTCCTCCACCCCTTAGCACAGTATGTCAAAGAATGGTGAATGTACTTCTGTCTTTTTTCTGATTCTATCTGTCCCCCAGCATCCTTCCTCATTGGAGCAAGCACTTGATAATAAAAAATAGATTGTAGATTCTGGAAATTCTACACAAAACCTTTAGCCATATATTCTTCTGTCATAAAATTTGTATTTAAGTATTCAAAAGCAATAAAAAACATGGCTTAATGAATTTGACTTGTATTACTGTAAATCTGTAGGACAATTTGCCAGAACAAGAAAAGCAGTGTGATATTTGGGGGGAAAAGGTTAATAATTTTATTTTTATAAGATCAACTACTTGGTGAATGTGTAGGAAAATATCTGAGGGAAGCAGTTCTTCATGTGCTTTTAGGGGAGTGAAGAACTTTGGTATAACTACATTTTCAAAAATCTTAATGAGTATGTCTTTTTTGTTTTTCTCTTTTGCAGTAGTGAGAGTAGAACTCAAGGTCTTCTGCATGCTAGGCAAGCTCTCTACCACTGAACTATACCCCAACCCTGATCATGTCATTTGGTAATTAGGAAATCCTAAAAGGAAAAATGGAAATGATATTGTGAATTTCTAAAAAAAATACCAATGACATGGAATGGAACATCAAGGTCCCGAGTCCTCTCGACTGGGTGTCTTGGGAAATCCTCCCACCTTCTCTAAGGGAGTTGTGCTAATATGAAAAGCTGTCCTTTCTGTCCTGACACACATGCATCCAGCCTGGAGTTAGGTATTATCTTTAGGTACAGGCAAGGAAGTGACTCCAAGAGTACAAGGGAGTCAGGGAAGAGCTGGCTCTGGAACCTAGACGCCTCCACCATATATGGCTACTTGTCTATTGCTTCATTTACCCTGCAAGTTCCCTCACATGTAGGACTACATGGCCACTTTCTTTTAGCTTCATTGCAAAACAGGCTGGTGAGTGATAAGAGGAAGCTTAGTTCAGGTTCCTGGGGCCCAGTCACTCTATTGGAGAATGTTTCCCGGGGGGGGGGGGGGTGGATCATTGGGACTCAGGGGCTGCTGTCCTGTTAGAGACAGAGCTTCACTCCACTGGGTCCCCAGCTCAGGGGATTGTCCTCATAACCACAGCAGACATGCCTAGGGGAAGTCCAACAAAGAGGCTGCGAACTGCTTTCCATCTCAGGAAAATGCTGGCTGAGGGAAGGAGGGGTGAGGTGGAGTTACCTCCGGGACTCCGAGCAAAAAGCTTGATTTCCCCTGCTACCTGCTCGCCATGTGACCTAGGTAACTCCTCTCTCAGGTTTCTCATTTGCAAAAGGGAGACATTGTTGCCTGGCTTAAATCAATGGCCAAGCTGTGATTGGTAGGTCTGGCCCAGGGAGGGAGGATGAGGTTGTCTTTAGTCATTTTGTGTCTTCCCTTATCTCCTCTGATTCAGGGTAGGGTCCTGTTCCTGGTCATCTTTGCAGCTGGCATTGGTGGAACTTTTCAGTTTGGCTACAACCTTTCCATTATCAATGCTCCAACCTTGGTAGGTACCTTCTGTGCCCATTGTCAAGGTCTGAGTGGGTACTGGGTCAGGGCCGAGAGCTGTCCACTGTGGGACTTTAGCTCAGCACTCACTTAGTAGTGCCTCTTCCCATCTCTTCTTTTCCACTGGCATGTCCCACAGATTTCTGCAGCTTTACATGGAGCTCTTTGCATCCTCCCCAAAACTAATGTCCTCCTGAGTCTCTGATCTGAATCACCTAATACCTATTGATGTGGGGATTATCCTTGACACTTCCCTTCCACTCTTGGACACCAAGCCCATCCTAACTACCTCTAGAATCCAGATATTTCTTTCCATGTTTCTGCCACAACCCCAATTCTAGTGCAGCCTCCTCATTGGCCTCCCTGCGTTCAGCAGCCTTCCTGTCCCCCTCTCCCTCCTTCCACCCCTCTCCCTTCCTTCTCCTCCTCATTTTCTCCTCCTCCTCCTCCTCCTTCTATTCCTCTTTCTTCTCTTCCCCCTTCTTTCCTTCCCTCCTCACCTTTCTCATTCTTTTGCTCATTCTTCTTCCTTCTCCTCCCCTTTCCTGTTCTTTCTTTCCCTCCCTCCCTTTCTTCCTTCCTTCCTTCTTTCCTTCCTTCCTTCCTTTTCTCTGGGGTCTGGCTTTAGTGCCAAGGCTTGACTCCATTCTGTATTCTCCTCCTGCCTCAGCTTCCTGGGTAGCTGGAAATACAGACATGTGCTACTGTACCCACTCAGCTTTTTCCTTTTTTGAGCTCCCCTAAGTTTGTCAACTCATTCCCCTGCCCAGAAACATTCAGTGATTCTCCCCAGTGCTCATAGGACAGGACAGATTAATCCACCTGAAGTTCAAGGCCTCATGGGATCAAAACCTCTCCCTCTGTCATCCACTTTCAACCTTGATAACAAAGCATGTTAAATGTAGTTTCCCAAATGTCCATGACACAGCCTCTTCTATAAGCTTCCTTCCACTGGGAAGCACTCTCTTCTCTCTTGCTGCATGTTTGAGTCCCCAGCATTTTACACTATCTGGGCCCATTGTAATGTTCAGTGAGTTCCTATGAGAAAAGATGAATTTTGCAGCCCCAGTGAAAGAAGTTCACCTCTAAATTGCTTGAGTGTGAAGGACAAGTGTCTCGTTACAGAGATGGGAACCATGTGGGGCTTCACCCAGATAGGAGGGAAAAGCTACAGGGACCAGAACCTAAGACAAAACTGTGATTCTGTTGCTCCTGCCTGGCCTTGTTCTCTTCCCAGTGGGCAAGAATGCAACCATCACCAGATTCACTTCCTACCAGCTGAGAACTATTCCCCCTCCCCAGCAGTTGAAAGGTCTGGGAAGAGTCCAGTTGAATCATTTTGGTCACATGCTTACCCCCCTAGACTAATCATGTGGTCAGGAGGGTGGCATTTTCAAATTGCTTAAGTCTGAGTCTGGTAATCATTTGATCATTTTTTGTGTGTGTGTGGGGGGAGTACCAGGGATTAAATTTAGGGGCACTTGATCACTGAGCCACATCCCCAACCCTATTTTATATTTTAATTAGAGACAGGGTCTCACTGAGTTGCTTAGCACCTCAATTTTGCTGAGGCTGGCATTGAACTAGTGATCCTTCTGCCTCTCAGCCTCCTGAGTTGCTGGGATTACAGGCTTATGCCACCATGCCCAGCAGGTGATCCTATTTATGGAGGCAGAAGGAGCTATAATTGGTCAGTGAAGAAAACTTCCTCTGAAGGACTATTTATTAGCAGAAAACGTGAGTATTCTGGGCAGACACAATGATAACAGCCCAGCCCCTTAAAGAAAGGATAAAATGAAATGTTTCAAGAGGTCTGAACTGGCTACATTGGTTTATAAATTTCATTCAACAAGCATTTTAGTGCCCACTTAAGTGCAGATTCACATATTGGGGAGCAATCTCTTCATGGCAGGACAGTATCAGATCTTTTCTCCTGTGGGACAGCACCATCCCTCAAAAATGAGACTTTCTTGGGCTTGGAGGCTCCTCTTAGTCTGCTGAATGATGTTAAAGAAAATATACTATTTTGTTAAAGAAAAAAAATAGAATCAATGACACTTGTTAAACCACAGTAAGAAATAATTTATTGATGGGAAGCCATGGCAATAAGTATAGGGACCACTCATGGGGTCCTGCAGTGGAGGAGAGAGATTGGGTTCAATTCTGAATACAGCAAAGGCAAGTGGGAATTTATAGCCAAGGAGTAGGGTTGGAGTCAGTGGATGACAAATGACTAGAGGAAACATCAGGGATAAGGGCCAATTCTGGCTAAACCAATCTAACTGGATTCTTGTGGAAGGCAGGTGGGGTGTGTTGGAGGATGTGTACCTCATCAATCATCAAGGATGATCCACTATGGACTGCAAGAGATTCTACCTAAACCAACTTATAAGATGTTAAATAAAAAGTACAGAAGGACTTTGTTTTGGATTATGCTTTGTTTTGGACTGGGCTCCAACAGACTAAGCTAAAAATCAAAATGGAGTCAAACTAAAAGTTCCATATCATCACAATGAACTAAACTGTTGTGTTAGTCAGCTTTTTGTCACTGTGACAAAAAGGAAAAGTTTATTTTGGGTTCTTAGTTTCAGAGGTGCAGTTTATGGTCAGTGGATTCCATAGCTCTGGGCCTGAAGCAAGGCAGAACATTATGGCAGAAGGGTGTGGTGGAGAAAGGCTTCTCAGCTCATGGAAGTGGGGCTTGCAATTCTCCTGCCTTAGCCTCCCAAGCCACTGGGATTACAGGCATTCTCCACCACGCCCAGCTGACTCATGGCAGTTGGAAAACAGAGAGAAAGAGGAGCCAGGGATAAGATATAATCCAAGTGCACATTCCCGGTGATCTACTTCTTTCAGCTATTTACCCCTATAGTTACCCTATAGTAGTCCTTTCAAATTACTAATCCATAAAAATACCCAAATTATTAATCCATCAAATGCATTCACCCACTGATAAGGTTATAACTTTCATAATCCAATCTTTTCACTTCTGACATTGCTATATTACCTAACATCTGAACTCCTTGGGGGACTTTTTTATTTATTTATTTTTATACCAGGTATTGAACCCAGAGGCACTTAACCACTGAGCCACAACCCCATCTCTTTTTATTCTTTGAGACAGGGTCTCACTAAGTTGCTTTGGGTCTCACTAAATTTCTGAGGCTGGCTTTGAACTTGCATTCTTCCTACCTCAACCTCCCAAGCCGCTAGGATTAGAGGCATGTGCCACTGTGCTCAGCTTGGGGGACATTTTTAAATCAATACCATAACAGCTGTTTATTTGACCTTCTGAGATGAGAATTAGAAAACAGTCAAATTTCCCAAACAAGTCAATTTTAATACACATGATAATGAAGATTTCACTGCTTTTATCCTTACAAAGAAGTAATCTGAAAAAAAAAATGAAGCTAAATAATCAGTTTCCTATTGTTCTGTCTTCCAGTCTCCACCTTACAAGAAAAATAACTTTGAAATGACTGATTTGCTTTTTGTTTTTTTTTTTTTTTTGCTTTCTTTAAGCACTTTGTAAAACCAACCTTCTTGGCTTGGACCATGAAAACACTTATTCTATTTTATGGAATGAAGTGTTGCCTGATTCTAAGGTAGAAAATAAGACCAGTTAGATCAACTAAATTGTTGCAGTTTGTCCTTTGACACAAGATTCTTGCTAGTATTGGATAATGCAGCAATGAACACAGAAGTCCAATCTTTGTCAGTGGCCACTCTTGAAAGGTTAGAGCCAAGGTTGGGGAGACTGGCTCTGGTTCCAGCTCCCCTGGATAGCAGATGAATGTGGCAAGTCCAGGCTGTCAGTCATTACCTTAGCTGGCCAGGGTAGGGGAAAGAGCTGGCTCAATAACTGAACGGATTGTTCTCCTTCATGTCCTGATGGTGGGGGAGGGGGCGTTTAAGACTAATATTTCATCCTTAGCCAACCGAAGGGTGTCCAGGTTTTCCCCATACACAGGCTTTCCTAACCATGGGGCTTCCATTCACTCACCTGAAGTGGCAGCTTTGGAGGGCGGGGCTTAGTGGAGTCTGAACATCCTGGGTGTAATCTTGACCTGTGGCTGAGGACATGGGCAAAACGTTTCACCTCTCTGGGCCCAATTCCAAGACTTAATGAGCAAAGTAACGTGTATTTAATAGAGTATAGTCATCCCTCAATCTTCATAGAGTTGTAGCCAATCTGCAGTGACCTCACAAGGATAGAACAGAGGGAGCTCCTGCATCCCTCTCCGGCCACTTCTAAGGTCCTGCTGGTGCTCATCATTGGCCAAGTCCAACAGAAAGCCAGTCAGGGAGGCAGCCGAGTGATGTGGGCTGTACTGGTGGCTTCCTGGGGCAAAATCAGGGTAGAAGTAGGACATAGCAGGCTTAAAGGATGTAGTTTAATTAGAACCATATTTGGTCTTTGACTCTGGTTCCTGGCTCAGAGCTCCTAAAACCCTTGGAATTTTTCTGAATGATAGGAGTATCTTTTATTATTTAGAATGAGCCCCCAACATAAGTTTATAGTAATGAGGTGATTTAGGACTAGGCCCTAGATGGCCTCTGAATAGAGCTGATTATCAGAAAGGCCAAGTGATTAGAGTCAGCTTCTAGACCCACCCGATGACCTCTGGGAAGGAGAGAAGGGCCTCAGACTAAGCTCTTATAAAAACTGTTGAACAATGAGATTTGATGTTCATACAGGTTTTTGAATATACTGAGGTGTTGGGAAGGTAGTGTGCCCAGAGAGGGCATGAAAGATCTGAACACCACCCCCTTCAGAACCTTGTCCTCTGTTTCTCTTCCATCTGGGTGTTCCTGAGTTATTCTCTTATAATATACCAGTAAACATAAGGAAGTGACTTTCTGAGCTTTGTGAGCTATTATAGCAAATTATTAAACCCAAGGACAAGGTCATAAGAACGCCCAATTTGTAGGTGGTCAGTCAGGATACAATTGTAATTGGACTTACAATTTTCATTTGAAATGGAGACAGTCTTGTGGGACTGATCCCTTTGACTTACAGAATTTGATGCTAAATTTCAGGTATAAAGTTTCAGAATTGGACTAAATTATAGTACATCTAGCTGGTGTCCAGAGAGTTGGAGAGTTGCTTACTGTAGAAAAGTTCCACACATTTGCTATCAGAAGTATTGTGTGAGTATAGAAAAATAGTGTGATTCCAAAAAAGGGGCAGATAGAGACTATCCAGTGCTAGGAGTTTTCTTTTTTTTTTTTTTTTTTTGTACACCATGGAGAGCTCAAGAGACTTGATGACTGAATTACAGAATCACAGAGCCTTGTGGAGGAGAAGGCCTGTCCTGTCCAGTACCAGCATCCCTGTCATCCCCAGGAGGCTGACTGCCATCTCTTTTCACAGCATATTCAGAAATTCACCAATGAAACATGGCAAGCACGCACTGGAAAACCACTGCCTGACCACATGGTTCTGCTTCTATGGTCCCTCATTGTGTCTCTTTTCCCCATGGGGGGACTTTTTGGAGCCCTGCTTGCAGGACCCATGGCCATTAAGCTGGGAAGGTAAGTGATTTCTGTGTAGCACCCCCTCACCCAGTATCCTCTAATGAGGGGCATCCCAATCTGTAGGTTGAGGAATGTGAAAGAAGGACAATGCCCAGCACCCTCCAGGCCCAGATCAGCTCCTCACCTAGTCTCTCATTCCAGCTGTGTTTTTACATTGAGAGTCACATTTTCAAGGAAACTTGGTAGAGAAAGGAATTCTGTGCAGTGAGGGAGGGAAGATTCCTGGTTTCTAGTTCCATGTCTGCCAATATGTGCAATTTGATCTTAAGCAAGTATTTTCCAGGCTTTGCTCTCCCCCTATGTATCTGATGCAGTTCCTGGGTTGCAAACAACAAACACTGACTCTAGCTCACATGATCAAAAATTGTAAGAACTGGATGGATATTGAGGCAGCTCACAAGGAGGAAAAGAAGTGTTTAAAAGCCAGGCCTTAGCCACAGGTGGTGGCACATACCTCTCATCCCAGAGGCTTGGGAGGCTGAGGCAGGGGTTTTGTGAGTTCAAAGCCAGCCTCAGCAACTCAGTGAGGCCCTGTCTCTAAATAAAGGATTTTAAAAAGGGCTGAGGATGTGGCTCAGTGGTTAAGGCCCCGCATTAAAAAAAAAAAAAAAAAAAAGAGAAAAGAAAAAGCCAGGCCTCAAGAAGGGCATAAGCCCAGGTGGTGCCAAGGGTCTCAGCAGCCAAAGCTTGGGAATTTTCTTTAGGGAGGATGCCTTCAGCATGCTCAGCTCTATCATTCTATCTACAGTATCTTCATTCAAGATCCAGAATCTAGGAAGACAAGTTGTTCTTGGGTGACATGACTACATTTATGAAGGAGTGGGAAAGAGGCAAATCCAGACAGAACACAAATGGCTACCACAGTTAACCCCTTTGCTAGCTACCAGACTATATGGACCCTTTCTCCCATACGTGTGGTCTAAAAGTGACCCCACCTAACATGCCGTATATGCCAGCATCTGTATCCACTCTTCCTTGTGTGATTACAGATGCATTGTTTTGAACACTCAGAGCGTTGTTTTGTCACAGCCACCAGGAGCAATGTAATAAGGGTATTCTTCGTGAGTGTGGGAGTTTTATGGGATCTCCATTCTTCTGCCAGCCCTGCAGTTAGTTAGGCCCTTTTGATATTCTGTACTTTATGGCAAATTTAAGGACAATATTTTCCTCTTATCTGTGGGGGATATGTTCTAAGACCCAGTGGATGCCTGAAACCACCAAGAGTGTCAAACCTTATACTTACTATATTTTTTCCTGTATACACATACCTATGATAAATTTTAACTTACAAATTAGGCATAATAAGAGATTAACAATAAAAACTAATAAAACATTGAACAATTACAATAATATATTAAAATAATATTTTTTAAAGAGAGAGAGAGAGAATTTTTAATATCTATTTTTTTTAGTTCTCGGCGGACACAACATCTTTGTTTGTATGTGGTGCTGAGGATCGAACCCGGGCCGCACGCATGCCAGGCGAGCGCACTACCGCTTGAGCCACATCCCCAGCCCCCTAAAATAATATATTGTAATAAGAGTTCTTCAAAACATGAATTACTTACTTGACCCTCATTTGTACTCTTTCACTCTATGTCATACCTTACTTACCAAGACATATAGGCTACTTGCTGCTTCCTCTTCTCCAGGTCCTTTCAGTGTGAACTCATCAAAGTAGTGGGCCAGCAGGATGCTCCATGGAATAATTGTGGTCCACAGCATAGAACTGTTGTATCATTTAGGCAGTTTGGTTGAGGTGTATTGCTGTCCACGATAGGTGAAAGTAAAGTGTTTCTGGCATTATCTGTGTATTGAAATGGAAAAAAAATGCATTCACGGGGCAAAGTCTGTTTTTTGTTTTGGTACTGGAGATTAAACCCAGGGATGCTTTACCATCAAGCTGCATCCCTGCTCCCCCCTCCCACTTTTGGTACCAGGGATTGAACCTAGGAGCGCTTAACCACTGAGCCACATCCCCAGCCCTTTTTAAAATTTTATTTTGAGCCAGGGTTTCACTGACTTGCTTAGGGCCTCACTAAATTGCTGAGGCTGGCTTTGAACTCACAATCCTCCTGCCTCAGCCTCCAGAGCTGCTGAAATTCCTGGCCCTTTGTATATTTTAAAACAGGATCTCACTAACTTGCTGAGGCTGACCTCAAATTTGCTCTCCTCTTGCCTCAGCCTACCAACTTGCTGGCTTTATAGACATGAGCCCCCATGCCTGGTTTCTTCTAGGGTTTTCATTAAGCCTAAGAAATGATATATGAGTTCCTTCATTTTACAAAGGAGTTTTGGGGAAAGCAATGCTTATTCTAAAAAGCAAAAGCCATAAAATATAAATTATGTCATTTCATGCTGCTGTGCAAGCAGGAAGGAGAGTAATTTGGGGGGGGTGTTGGGGGAGGAGTGTGAGAATGTGCATTTCAAGGCATTCCACAAGTGAGCCAAGATGCAATGGCTACTGCTCATTTCAATTTATATAATTTATTCTCATTGACAGCACTCACACATGCATACACACATGCCTACTCACACGCACACACACACAGGTCTGTGACTGATCAGGACTGGGGGTGATACAGAAAGGAAAAGAAGGGTCCCTCTGAACCAAACCAAAGTGTCTTTTTCCTGTGTCTCTCTTTCCCCAAGGAAGAAGTCGCTCCTGGTGAATAACATCTTTGTGGTGGCTGCAGCGTTATTATTTGGCTTCAGCCACAAAGCAGGCTCCTTTGAGATGATCATGCTGGGAAGACTGCTCATGGGAGTCAGTGCAGGTATGGGGGCATCTCATCCTGCCTGTCTATTCCTATTCATTCATTAGTTCCTTTATTTCCTTCTTTTGTTCCTTTTATTCACTGACATATTTTCATTCACGCCTACCTGTTTTGCAAAATAATTAAATATGGTTTATCTTAAAAGACTCAAATAACTAGATATTTACAGTAGATGTATAAAAATGAAGAAGTTGCAGGACTGGGGAAAACATCCTCAGACTTGCACTACCAACACTTTAAACCTGAGTTTCCTGGCAGCCAAGGTATAAAGGGACATAGGATTACTTCTCTAACATTCTCTTCCCCTTATCTGTGACAGATATGTTATATATCCCCTTTTCTGTGGGGAAAGGATAGCATCTTAGGAACTCATGAGTTTCTGAGGCTTGATATGTGAGGGAGAAAAAGTTTTAGTACATCTACTTCAGCTTTTAGGGATTACAATTAAGTTACAACTTGACTCTCTACTTTTATACAGCCAGATATTGATATCTGTATTAGTTACCCATTCCTGTGAAACAAATCACCCCTAAAACTTAGTGGCTTAAAACAACCATCATGGTTTATGTGTGTGTGCACTGCCGGGGATGGAACTCAGGGCCTCGAGCATGCTAAGTAAGTTTTCTACCACTGAACTGTAGCCTTAGCCCGTAACCATATTTATAATACCAGTTTCTGTGGGTCAGGAGCCTGGGAATGCCTTAGCAGGGTAGCTCCAGCTTGAGGTCTCTCATTAGGTCATGCTCAGCTGTCAGTTACAACTGCTACCACCTGAAGGGGCTGGATGATCTTTTCCGAGATGGTTCCCTCATAGGCCCCTGGCAGGAGGCTCCAGCTCCTCACCCTGTGGGTCTCTCTGTAGTGTTCCTTGAATATCCTCATAAAACATGGCAGCTGGTATTCTCCAGAGTGAGTGGAGAGAGAGGCGGGGGTGGGGGTGGATGAAGAGGAATTCTTAGTGCTCTTTGTGTCCCCGTTTCTGAAGTCATGCACCACCAGTTTTCCCACATTCTGTTCATTGAAAGTGAATCTCTAAGAACAACCCACACTCCAGGGGAAAGGAACTAGGTCAGACTTTGTCATTTTTCCCTGAATAAATCCAAAAAAGAAGGCATCCCTCCTCAAATGTTGGAAGGAAGAGCAGAGGTAGCCCTGAGACTCCTTGACAATCAGAGCAATTGCCTTCCTCTGAATTCTCTTCACCCATGAGAAAGGGGCTGACACTGATGGGAGATGTTTCCTGACCTCAGGTCAGAGAGTGGGGTGGAGGTTTCCCAGGTATATGATATCCTAATGTGGCCTCCTAGCTTTTTGGCATTGTAATGAATGAATAGTGGGGTGGGCAGCAAGGGCACTATCCAGTTTTGTTTTCCCATTGGCTGTATAGGTGCCAGGTGTGTCCATGGGGGAACTGGAATGAAGTGAGGACCTACATCTGTAGTGGTCAAGGTAAATTCCAGGTTGTCATTGAAATGAGAACCCAGAAAGCTGGAAGGCATCCAGGACATGGTCCTTCCCTTTTCCTTCCACCCCCAGCACTTGAGAGACTGTATTACCAACTTTTCATCACTATAATGAAATACCTGAGGCTATTAACTTATGAAGAGAAAAAATTTATTTTTGGCTCTGGTTCTGGAGGTTCCAGTCTAACATTGTTTGTTTTGTTCTGTTTTGTTTTGGTACTGGGGATTGAACCCAGAAGTGCTTCACCACTGAACTACATCCTCAGCCTTTTTTATATTTTATTTGGAGGCAGGGTTTCACTAAGTTGAGAGCCTCACTAAGTTGCTGAGACTGGCCTTGACCTTGCAGTCCTTCTGTCTCAGCCTTCTCAGTTGCTTTGGATTATAGAGGTGCACCACCATGCCCGGCTCCAGGCCAACATTGGAGTGGCACTTTTGCTTTAGTCCTCTGGTGATGACAACATATTATGGTGGGAGTATGTGTAGGAATAAATCATTCATCTCATGAGCCAGGAAGCAAAGAAGAAGAGTAGGAGACTGAGGTCCTACAATCTCCTTTAAGATCATGCCTCCAAGCCAGGTGTGGTGGCGCATGCCTGTAATCCTAGCTGCTAGGAAGGCTGAGGCAGGAGGATCACAAGTTCAAAGCCAGCCTCAGCAGTCGGGAGGAGCTAAGCAACTCCAGGGAGACCCTGTCTCTAAATAAAATACAAAATAGGGCTGGTAGAGTGTCTCTGAATTCAATCCCCGGTACAAAAAAAAGATCAAGCCCCCAATGACCTAAGGACCTCTCATAAGGCCCCACCTCATAAAGGTCCACAGCATCTCCCAAGAGCAAGCACCTGGAGACCAAACCTTTAACACATGGGCCTTTGGGGGACATTCAACATTCAAACTCTTGCAGAGACTTTAATACCTAGAAAGATCCCATGAATATGTGGGATTGTGATGAGGGACCAAGGGATGGGGAGAGCCTATCTGGGAAAGATGACTTCTCTCCCAGGAATCCTGAGGCATTGAGCTGGGATCCTATCATCCCTATAGAAGGTGAGGTAGAACCTCTCAGAGTGTGGGGGGGGTGAGAGAATGGCCCACTGAGTCACAACCCAGCAGACAAGAGGCAAGAAAGACATGCAGGCCTCACAAGGACCCTCTTTGTGGTTAAGCACCCTTGCTTTGCGCATGTCCAGGCGTGAGCATGAACGTTCAGCCTATGTACCTGGGGGAGAGTGCTCCCAGTGAACTCCGAGGAGCAGTGGCCATGACCTCAGCCATCTTCACAGCCCTGGGGATCGTGATGGGACAGGTGGTCGGATTGAGGTGAGTACCCCTCCCCCTATGCATTTAAGTGCTTTCAGGGACGCCAGTAAAAAATCTGTCTTCACCCAGATTTCTCCCCTCCCCACCATTTGATTAAAGCATTGCTTCTATGCGCGAGGGCATCAAAACCCTGTTCACAGCCATGTGTCTAATACAAAAAAAGAGCTTTTCAATCAGCCAAACTTTGGTGTGAATCACCTTTTCCCATCTTCTCCAGGATAGGGAGCAAAGAACAGTTCTTGACAGCAGGGAGGGTGAAGATTTGGGCTTTTGACGAGGAACTTGTTCTGGCCATCACAGAAAAAAAAAAAAAAAAAAAAAGGAAAGTGCAGAGCTTGGATCCCCAGGGAGAAAAATTGCTAGGGATAAGGTGGGGCAGGAGCCCTTCCCTCCCTCAATTCCTACCTGGTTTGGAAGGATCTTGATATCCAAACACAGAGCTAGATAGAAAGAGTCACAGGCCAACATGACCCTTTACAAGCAGGTTAGTAAGGCAGGCAGGGGGTCAAGGGGGAAGGTGAGGAGACAAATGTTCTGTCCTGTCCTCTGCCTCCCCAGGGAGCTGATGGGTGGCCCACAGGTATGGTCCCTTCTGCTGGCCAGTTGCCTGGTGCCTGGGGTACTCCAGCTCGTCTCATTGCCCCTGCTTCCTGAGAGCCCACGCTACCTCCTCATTGACTGTGGAGACACAGAGGCCTGCCTAGCCGGTGAGTCCCTGCCCTTGGGCCTCTGTACTATACTTGTTCCAAGGATGCATCTCAGCAGTACAGGTCCTCATCTTTGGGGTTTTATTTAGTAGGGAAAAGCTCTTCTTTTCTTTGTGTCTCAACTTCATGATCTATTCAAATATGCCTTCAAAATTCTTTGTCAAAGGGATGTCCTAAATTATAGGGTAATAGGATGAGTCAGACCACCTTTGTCATCCAGGAAATTCAGGTGTACATAAACACACACACACACACACACACACACACACAGGAGAGACACTTATGTAAGACCTCACCTGCCCAATGCCAACTGGGTGATGATTGTTGTATCAGTTAACTATAATAAATATGGTCAAGGAACAATTGCAAAATCTCTGGCTTAAAACAACAATCATTTACCACATCTTTTACTCATTTATTCCTTTGGCAGCACAACTCTGCTGATCTCAGCTGGGCCAGGAATTGGTCAAGTCTGGTCTGAGCTGGGCTGCTTTAGTTCTGTATATTTGTCCTTCTTCTCAAACTCTTGGTACTAATGAACTCAGGGATGTTCTTAGTGTGATGGTGGCAGAGGCACAAGAAAGCAAAGCAGTTGCACAAGTACTTTCAAAACCTTCATCCCCCAACCCCATACCCATTAACATCCCATTCTGGTGAACATCCCATTCACATGCTGGTGAATCCAAAGCCACAGGATGGGAAAATCAATGACGTGCTCTCCCATGGCAAAGAGTGGGGTTTAAGGAGGGATGAAGACCAGGGCCCAGGAATGTATTCTTATTGATTGGCCATCATGACCACATTTTTCTTTTTTATTTTGAGATGGGGTCTCTGTATGTTCCAAAGCTGGTCTCAAACTCCTGAACTCATCAAGTAATAGGCATAGTGCCATGCCTGTCCATGGTCACAATTATTATGTATGTCCCTCCTCTCTGCAAAACATGTTTAGTCCCATCTCAGGATCCCCCAAAGTCTCAGTCATGATATCAGTTTTGAAGTCCCAGATCCTTTTTTTTTTGGACCATGGATTGAACCCAGAGATGTGTGACAAATAAGTAACATCCCCAGCCCACCCACTCACCCACCCCCGCTGCCTTTTTTAAAATAATATTTTTTAGGTAGATGGACCCCAATATCTTTATTTATTTATTTATTTATATGTGGCACTGAGGATTGAACCGAGTGCCTCACACGTGTGAGGCAAGTGCTCTACCACTGAGCTACAACCCCAGCCCCCCCAGCTCTTTTTTTATTTTACTTTTTTGTTTGAGACAGGGTCCTGCTAAGTTGCTTAGAGCCTCACTAAGTTGTTGAGTCTGGCTGTGAACTTGTGATCCTCCTATCTTAGCCTCCTGAGCCACCGGAATTACAGGCTTGCGCCACTGAGCCAGAAAAGAAGTACCAGATCTTAGGATCGCATTGAATTATATGTACCTTTTTTTTTTTCCCCCTTAGTACTGGTATTGAATCGAGGGCCTTGCACATGCTGGGCAAGCACTCTCAGCCTTGAAAGCTACATTCTAAACCATTTTATTTATTTTTGAAACAGAACCTGGTTAAATTGCCCAGGCCGACCTCAAACTGGCAATCTTCCTGCTTCAGTCTCCTGAGTCGTTGTTATTAGAGGTTTCCACCATGCCCAGCTTTTATTATTTTTTTTGAGATCAGTTCATCCTAAGTTGCCTAGGTGGGCCTCAAACTTTCAGTCCTCCTGCCTGAGCTTCCCCGTAGCTGGAGTTACAGGTGTGATCACTACTTCCGGCTATGTGCCTTTTTCCATCCAGAGACCATGGTTTTAAAAAAACAGGTCTTCTAAATTTAAAACTATAAACTTCTTAGAAGGAAACAGATATAAATATATGGGCTTTGGATTCAGCAATCGTTTTTTTCAATATGACAACAAAAGTACGGTCAACAAATTAAAAATATAGATAAGTAGATATCACAAACTAAAAGAAAAAAAACTGTCATGCTTCAAGAAGATAAGAAAATAAAAAGGTGTCCGGTGCGGTGGCACACACTTGTAATCTCAGGGGCTAGGGAGGCTGAGACAGGAGGACTGTGAGTTCAAAATCAGTCTCAGCAACAGTGAGGCGCTAAGCAACTCAGTGAGACCCTGTCTCTAAATAAAATACAAAATAGGGCTGGGGATGTGGCTCAGTGGTTGAGTGTCCCTGTGTTCAATCCCTGGTATCCCCCCCCAAAAGAAAAAGAAAGTAAAAGGCAACTTGTGGAATGGGAGAAAATTTTTGCAAATCATTTAACTGGAAAATGAGTTGTATCTAGAATATGTAAAGAACTCATAGCTCAGCAACAAAAAGACAACCAATTTTCAAATGGCAAAGGATCTGAAAAGACATTTTTACTTAGAAGATATACAAGTGGCTGATATGTGCATGAAAAAATGCTCAACATTGGGGCTGGGGAGTTAGCACAGTTGGTAGAGTGCTTACCTTGCATACACAAAGCCCTGGGTTCAATCCCCAGCACCAAAAAAAAAAAAAAAAAAAAAAAAAAAAAAAAGCTCAACATCATTATTCACCAAAGAAATGCAAATCAAAATCATAATGAGATGCAATTTCACATCCATTATGATGGCAATAATTTAAAAAATCACATAGAAACCAGTGTTGGCAAGAACATAAAGAAATTGGAACCCTTAATGTAAAGTGGTGTGATAATTTAGGAAAACAATCTGGGAGTTCCTCAAATGATTTAAATAGAGAGTTACCATATAACCCAGCCATACAACCCAAGGGAAATGAAACCTATGCCCCCCGCCCCCCAAAAAAACTTTGTATGTGAATATTTGTAGTAGCATTATTCATAATAGCCAAAAGGTAGATGCAAATAAAGCATCCATCAACTAATGAATAGATCAATAAAATGTGCATATTCATACATTGGAATATTATTTAACCATAAAAAGGATTGAGTAATTGATACATGTTGCAATGTGTATGAACCTTAAAAACATGCTACAATTCACAATATCCAAGTTATGGAAACAGCCTAGATGTTCATCAACAGATGATGGACAAAGAAAATGTGGGAGAGATACACAATGGAGTTTCATTCAGTCATAAAGAAGAATCAAATTATATCATCTTAAGTGAAGTAAACAAGACAAAGAGAGTAAAGGGTTATATGTTTTCTCTGATATGTGGAAGTGAGAGAGGAGAAAGGGAAGGAAAAAAGGAATCTCATGAAAATGGCAGGAAGACCCATAGAGTAGAGACAGGGGATGGGGGAAGGATGAGGAAAGGGCAGGTTAGGGGCTGAGGAAGGAAACTAAGCAAGTGTGTCATGTGCGTGTATAAATATGCCACAATGAAATTCACTATTCTGTCTGCGCCAATAAAAAACTTATGCTATGTAAGAGAAGCCAATCACAAAAAGCCACATGTATGATTCCATTACATGAAATGTCCTGAACAGGCAAGTTTGGGATTTCTCTTCATGGTTCTAAAATTCATTGTGGTGATGGTTGCACAACTCTGAACTCATTAAAAACCACTGAGTCATGTTCTCAGAAAAAAAGGACCTAAAAGGGTGAATTGTATGGTATGTAAATTATATCCCAAAATAGATGTGTTTTTTTAAAACGATGAACTTCTAAAACTGAGTAAAAGAAGTGGAAGAGGTTGTAAGTTAAAACAAGTTCACTTGTTGAATTAAAATAGTTGACGGAATTTCCACCTGAAAATGTCTGTGTTCTCACTGAGATAGACTTCCTAGCATAACCATATACTAGTAAGAGTTTGTAATCTGAAAATGATGTGTCAGATACAAATAATGCAGAGGTAGCACAGTTCCAGGTAATGACAAGCTGCAAGGTGTGTCCTGAGCGTGGGTGGCTAAGGTGGAGTGGAGGAGGAGTCGCCAGAGACCAGGGAAGTCAGGGAGCTTAATGCAACCAGAAGTATTTGCTAAATTGAATCAAGGAATTACTTCCTTGTAATTACTCCTTGTATCAGGCAGTATTAAAGCATCAATGTAACTTTTAAAGTCTTAAAAATTATTACTATATTTTCCCTAGGCAAATTTTATTTTTATTCTACTGAATTCAGGGTTAGGTGTATGAATTTAAAGGAGACCACACTCAAGTTACTTCTCATGTGTGGAAGAAAAAAGAAAAGGAGATTTTTTCAATATTCTATAATTACACTAAGAATATATATAAACGAAACTTTAGGATAATAAGCTTCCAGAAATTTAGAAGCAAAACAATGAATATACAAGACCATAAATAAAATACTGAGCACCTTTGTCAATTGATTCCAAAGATTCACCTAAGACCATCTTCCTTTGCAGCTCCAAGATTAGCAGAGTCAGAGGGAGGGTTTCTGGGAACCCCATAGGCTTTTTCCCTTCATCAACCCAACCCAGAGGATTTTTTCATGTCCCAACTGATCTTTTCTTAGAAGCCATCATTTGCTTTCACCTGTGGGGTCCCTACACTCCCGGTCTCCAAGTATAGTTTGGAGTATAATTTCCCCAATTTCATTGTTCCCAAACCAGTCTCCTCCACTAAGACACACTAAGAGTCCAAGGAAGGATATACCATTGCATTCAGCACTGAGTAATTTAATAAGGAGAATTGGATGGGTGTTTACAAATTAACTAGAATGATTGGAGGACTAGGCTCTAGGTAGTGGCTACAGGAATATTCCCAGAGAAACACAGAACTGAGCATCCAGGCAAGCTCCTGGCTCTGCAGTGTTCAGGATGATGACCAATCAGTCAACTAACACTGGAACTGCTGAGTTTATGAATCTGCAAGCATAGCTGCGATCCTGGAATCAGAAAGTCAGGACCAGGAAACTACCACTGTCACACCACAACTGTTTCTCAACACCCATAAAGCCAGTGACTGGATACTAGACCAATTCAGAGAAACTTCAAGATTTTGGAAATGGTCCAAGATCTTGTTCACCAGCAGAAAAAGTAAAAACTTGGAAGTGAGGTAGTTTCTGTTTCACTTCTACTTTCTAGGCTAAAATCAGAATGTGTATAATAAATTCATCCAGGAGAAAAAAAAAATAGGTCTTCTTCCCATCCCACACTCAGCGTATAATGGTCAAAGTGAGACAAGGTAACCAGAATTTAAGAGTTTAATTTCAAACACAAGGTGGCCAGAAGGCACAAAGCAGTCATTGATCCATAACAATTCTGTAATGCCACTGGGAACACTTGCCAGGTTTCCCTGGCTTAGAGGTGGGGCTTGATCTGCCCCCTGGGAGGGGTTCTCCATGGTTTTTGCTTCTGCCCTCTGAGATAATCCTCCTTTTCTGTCACCTTCCTTTATACTTTCTGGAGAGTATTGGGAAGTGTGCTGTTTTTAGTGGTGGAGCAAATTTCTCAGCTGCTGCCTGTAGGAAGTTAGGGTATTGAGGTCTTTATATTTCAAACTGTTGCCGTCTTTTTTTGTCTAACTGGCAGAGCTTTTGCTAATACAGTCTTCTCAAAAATGATGTGAATTTTCTATGTATTTGATTTACATGCCGAGAGAGAGAGAGAGAGAGAGAGAGAGAGAGAGAGAGAGAGGTATGTGTGGAGATATTTTGGGGTGAGGTGAAGGGTTTACTGCTGGGTAGTATCAAAGAAGGCTGAGGGAGGGGAAGTGCAGCACCCTTCTCTGTCTCAGCTCTGCAGCTGCTGCGGGGCACCCAGGATGTGGCAGAGGAGATGGAAGAGATGGAGGAGGAGCGTGCTGCCTGCCAGGGCCGCCAGGCACGGCGCCCATGGGAGTTGTTCCAGGACCGGGGCCTGAGGAGGCAAATGACAAGCCTTGTGGTGCTGGGCAGTGCCATGGAGCTCTGTGGGAATGACTCGGTGAGGCTCTGCCCTGTCCTGTCCTGCACGATAGGTCTGCTGAGGGTTTGTGCTGTAGGCAGGTGGGAGCCATGGAAGGTTGAGGGGAACCAATGCTTCAGAGCTGCCTCTCCTGCTGGCCCAATCCTAGGTGTATGCCTATGCCTCCTCAGTGTTCCGGGAGGCAGGAGTGCCTGAAGAGAAAATCCAGTATGCCATCATTGGAACTGGGAGCTGTGAGCTGTTTGCAACTTTTGTTAGCGTGAGTCTAGATTTGGGCCCCACCCCTACCCCTAGTCCTGCCAGGAGGGATGCTTGGGATACTGATGCTCTTAGGACTTTGCATTAAGCTATTTTCCACTCCTGTTCGTGGTGGTAAAGTACAGCAAGTCGGCAAGCATTCCTACTGTTGGCTGGGCATTCACACCATTGCTTTGAGATGAGAACCCTAAATGAAGTTAAGTAATTAACCAAGGTCCTCTGGGATATTAATAAAGCCGTGACCTTCTGAAGCAATAAACTGCATCTCCCTCTTAACACACACCAGCTTTCCCATGAGGCCCCTCATATTGCCTGTTCCCAAACCAAGAGCCCAGTGTGTGGTACCTTCCTGAGTGGCTCCTTTCTTTTGCAGTGCGTGGTGATTGAGAGGGTGGGTCGGAAGGTGCTGCTGGTAGGGGGATACTCTCTGATGACCTGCTGGGCCAGCATCTTCACAGCTGCGCTGTGTCTGAAGGTAGCTGGGGGTGTGAGGGGTGGTAGCTGGGCCAGGTTTGCTTTCCACCTCACTCCACCTTATCTGCTGCAGAGCTCCTTCCCCTGGATGCCCTATCTGGCCATGTCCTGCGTCTTTGCTTTCATCCTCAGCTTTGGCATCGGCCCTGGTGAGTGGGTCTGAAGGCCTCTGGTCTTTGGGCTGAAGGAACAATGGGTGTCTGAGTGAATGATGGTGGATGTGACTGTAATGTCATTTTCAAATCCCAGACCCACTTGTGCTGAGGCTTCTGGGAGGACTAGAGGAGGACATCCAGGGGCCCCCATGCAGATGGCACTAAGATGACAGAGAGGCAGGACAAAAAGCCCTGGATGATAGCCCTCTGTCCTCTTCTTGTAGCTGGAGTAACGGGAATCCTGGCCACAGAGCTGTTTGACCAGACAGCCCGACCTGCTGCTTACATGGTCTGTGGGGCCCTGATGTGGACCATGCTCTTCCTTGTTGGAATTGGGCTCCCCTTTGTCATGGTAGGCCTGCCCTTCCCCCTGGGTGGGAGGCCCTGCTTCAGGTTTTGTCCCTATCACTGGAGCACCCCAGGGAGTGGCGCCTCTGTACATGAGAACTGAGGCCAAGTGGGAGGGACCTTATGTGAACCAAGGGAGCAAGTCTTTCCTCATAACTTGTCATGGACCTTCCATTGAGAAGGGGCACAACAGGTCTTGGGGTCTCTGTTAACCCACAGGAGAGCCTGTCCCACTTCCTCTTTGTTCCTTTCCTCTGTGTCTGCGTCTGTGGAGCCATCTACGCTGGATTGTTCCTCCCTGAGACCAAAGGCAAGACATTCCTGGAGATCTCTGAGGAATTACACAGACTCAGCTTGCCCATGCGGGCCCAGGGCCCCACAAGGAGCAGCAGGGAGGTCATCCAGTCCACAGAGCTATAGCTGCACAGTTGTGGCAGGTGCTAAAGGTGGCTGCTGCCCTGTCCTTTGCTTTTCAGAATGACTTGCATTTTAACGAGTGTTTATTCAGGACCTACTCTGTGCAGGCATGGTACCAGGTGTTTAGCAATTATTGGTGAGCCAGGGAGGCAGGACATGCAACCACTTGATGCTCAATGTCTAAAGATAACCAACAGGAAACCAATTAAAACATTACTTGTCGGAATGCAGTGGAAGAGAAATACAGGTGGTGCTGGGACCCTGACCTGGTCTGGGAGGAGGTGGTCAGAAAAGGATTTTCTGAGAAACCGATTTTTGAAATCAACTTTATTGGAATATAATTTACATACAATCATATGTATCCATTTTAAGTAAACACCTGCTGAGTTGCGACAGATGTATACACCCATGAAATACCACTATAATCAAGGTAGACCATTCTCATCACCTCCAAAGCACCCTTATACCCGTTGGCTATCAATAACCCACTCCACCCCCTACCCCAGGCAACCACTGATCTGTTTTCTGCCACTATCAGTCAGATTTGCCTTTTTTATACTTTTATATAATTCTATATTATTTGTACACATTTGTGTCCAGCTTTCTTTGGATAAAGTTTAGTTGCATGTGTTAGTATACATTCCTTTGTGTTGCTGAGTAGTTATCCCCTGTATGGATATACCATGATTTGTTTATCCCTTTGCCTGTTGGGGGCTGGGGATATAGCTCAGTTGGTACAGTGCTTTCCTTGCATGCATAAGGCCCTGGATTCAATTCCCAGCACTGCCAAAAAAAAAAAAAAAGTCCCTTTGGTAGACATTTGGATTACTTCTAATTCTTGGCCATCATGAATAAAGCTGCTGTGAATATTCCTATGCAAATTGTTGGATACATGTGTATTTTCATTTTCTGTGCATCTGTTTGGGCTGCTATAACACAGTATCATAGACTGGGTGGCTTATAAACAATGGAAATATACTCCTCATAATTCTGGAGGCTGGAAAGACCAGGGTTAAGGGCCCACTTCCCGGTTTATAAACATTTGTTTTCTCGCTGTAACCTCCCATGGCAGAAGTGAAGAGCTTCATCTCTTTTATAAGGCACTAGTGGATCCCATTCATGAAAGCTCTACCCTCATGACCTAATCACGTTTTAAAGGCACAACTTCCGAATACCATCATATTAGGTAGCAAGAAATCTCTAGAGAGTAATATTTATTTGGGAATGACAGAGCATTGCAATGGGAATATGTGGGCCAATACTAAACTATGGGTGCATTCAAGAAGGTCAGACAAGTAGTTTTTATAGGGAAAAAAGGAAAATTTTTTGGTGAGCTGCGTGGATAAAAAGTATTCATTGGTCTGTTTTGCAAGGTGATTATAGTAGTGTTTTATACTCTCACTAGCAGTGATTTGAGAGTTCTGGATACTCCAAATCATCAATACTTGGTTGGTATTGTCAATCTTTTCAATTTGGCCATTCTAGTGAGTGTGTAGAAAGTAGTGTCTCTTTGTGCTTTAATTATGGTATTTCCTTGATGACTAATAATGTTGACCACCTTTTCATGTGTTTAGTATGACCATTTATCTGCTTTTGTGAAGAATCCTTTCATATCTTTTGTCTACTATTTTTATTGAGTTGCCTTATTTTTTTAATTAACAAGCATTTTTATTAACTTTTTTTTGAAAAATTGATTATGAGTTTAATATTATATTTTTAATATTATATTTTTACCTGGGCGACACATTTAGAGGTTCTTAGGAATAAGAATCAAAATAGTCATTAATGTAACTAGACTACATAGTTGTATCAAAAAAGAGAAAAAAAATCAGTGTTTTGTAACTAAGTCTGAGTTTAGAATATATCACCTGCTTTAAATAATATTTAAATCCTAAAAGATGAAAGACATTTTGCAGGAGAAAACAGCCTCAAGAAGGAAACATTACAAAAGATATAATAATAATTACTTTGAATCAAATTTATGAATCAACTTCTTTCTCCAAACAAGATTCCATGTCTCTAAAGAACACAGGTTTCTAATTCCAGAAAGATAGTTGTCAAAACTTTAAATACTTCTCTAACAATTACATTCTCTATCTGGATCAAACTTTTACCGCCCAACATTTCTTGCCATTTGTTTTATTGTCAGCAAAGCCTAGGTGCCGGACTTTGTGAACTATGACACAGCTAGACCTTTAAGTAATTATTATAACTAATATATCTAATAGTTATTTGCTAAGAGTAATAGAATGATATACACAAACCCCTTATGAACTAAAATAGTACTTCTGCACACTTTTATTTGCAAGAGTTTTATTAACCCAGAATACACTCAAGGGGTTTGGAAAACCCTTTTGACTTTCATTTCTAATCTGTATAGGCCTATTAATAACCAAATTTATTAAGTTATGACAGTTTGAACTGCATAACATTTCTTAAAATTTCCTTCTTGAGCTCTGTATTACCTCAAAAAGCAATCTATTCACTAATGGTCTGTTAAACATAAATAAATATTTAATACCAATAAAATACAATATATAATCAACATTGTATAACAAAAATTATCAAGCTCTACTTGAAAGCCTTAAAAAATGACTCTGGAAGAATTAAGCTATTTTATTTAATATGTAATAGATAGTTGGCATAAAGCAAAGTTTATGTATTTAGTTTTCTCATATTTTATTGTATTTCCACAAACCATTAAGATATAACTTTAGGTATTTTTCCATCAGTAAGGCCAGATATAGATGATTTCTTTTTATAGGTAACTGAAGGTTTTAACAGGGTTTAGACTGAAAAATCAGGTACCATTTAGTCATAACATCATATAAAGACCTTTAATCAGGAAAAAGATTTTTAACATTATTGCTTAAGTCTTATAAACATGTTGAATTTTAACCAAATTGATACCTCTCCAGTCTTGTTTCCTTTACTCTTAAGTCATACTTTTTGGCAAATATATAGGTAATGATGTAATTTTAAAATTAAATTAACTGTGAATAAATTCTAATTTGTTGGTCAGTGCATATATTTTGCCCCCACTTTACCTAGTATATTCCTCCTGGAAAAAGTGACTGTCCCACATGAAAACAACAACAACAACAACAAAAAAAAAATGCAGAGCTTTATTTCTTCCTTGAAGATTTTCAGGTATTATAGGAACAAAAAAGTCCATAAAGAAAAAAAAAACTGGTTAAAAATTTGACATTTTCATCTTGCTTTACTAATTATTGGATAACAGAAATATAAAAAAAGTCCCTTATTATTTCTTTAACATAATAATAATACACTAAGAAATACAGTAATTATACTCGAGCTATTTTCTGGCTTCTTCAAGTAAAGGACACAACTATGGTTCTACCAATGAGGAGATATGAATAATCAGTCTCATGGAACACAAAAAGATAAATTGACTTTGGCTTTTAAAAACAAAAACCTAATGTGACCCTGAAATGCCTGATTCAGCAACAAAAAGTTACAGCTGCAAGCCACCACTTCACTACACAGAATTCTGAAAGAGGCAACAGCCCTCCCTCAACCTCAGTCTGTGATATCTTCTTTTTATTCTGTTTTTTTCTGCTTTTTGGATGTAGACAGTTCAAGGCTTGCCAACTGTGTAGGTTCAGCTTTTCTCATGGTGATCTCAATCTTTGTTGCAATCATAGTTACATAGCTCTGTTTTACATCAGTCACACCCCATACTTTGACATTTTGACGAAATTCCTTCTCTCCTTCAAATATAATGTGTACATTTAACGATGTACTATGAGCTTCTACTCGACTAAGTTCTGGAAGTGAATTTTTAGCATATACTGAAACGGTGACTTCACCCCCAGTCTGATGCGTCGTGTCTACATGGAACAACTGTTTTCCCAGCACCCTTTCTAGTCCACATGTGTTTCCCTGTTTTACATAAAGCCTTCTTAGGCTAAGACTGTTTTAAAATCAGAGGTGTTCCTTCTACAGCTGCTCCAATATTTCATCCCCTCATGGAAAATATCATTCCTCCAGAATGATATACACAGACTTCTTCTAGACTCTGTAGACCTGATATGTCTTTGGACACCCTCCATTTTTACATGAGTTCCCAATCTTAATTTCATCACTGTCATCTTCTTTCTTATCTTCCTTCATTCCCAGACCATAATTTAAGTTTATCAAAAAAAAAAAAAAAAAAAGTTTATCAAGTGCTTGTTTTAGGGAGGCAGATGTTTTTAATGACATATTTTAAAACCAAATATGTCACTGGTTCACTGGTCTTGGCCTTTTTATCGCTTCCTCTGGTTTAGGGGCTTGAATTATGGGCTCCTGAAATTTGGGTTTCAATTCAGATAGTTCTTTCCTTTCAGTAGTCTTGACTTCAGACTTGACTGGCTCAGGTGGCTTCTCACTATTATGTCTACCTTTTATACAGCCCACAATGTTTAAAAAATCAGAAAAATCAGTTGTTGTTCTTTTACAGCAAGTCCAACCCTTTAATGCATCATTAAAGACTGGAACACCTGGGTGATATGTGCAAGTATCACCCGAATTGTTCTCGGGGTCAAAGCGCTGGCCACAGCCCCTATTGTAACACAGCACGGCCCTCTTCTCCTCCCACCATTACAGACAACGACCAACCACTAGGAACCGCAAGACAGGGCGACTAACTCTGCTGTAGCAAGCGCTGACCTGATGCTTAGGGCGGCTGCAGGCTTCCTGAAACCACCGGTTCCCGGGTTGTCTTTTTTTGTTTTGTTTTGTTTTATGTATTTATTTTATTTTATTATTATTATTTGGTTTTTTAACTCATCTGCATTTACTACTCTTTAAAGCAGAATGTTGACTTGGGTACTAATATTTCCATTCAAGCCTTATTGAGTTACTTTTTGAACAGCTTTGTAACACACCTATTGAACCATGATGCAAAGAAAAGACCACTGGTCTTTTAAATCAATGAAAGCAAGCTTGTATCATGTACACAAGGAAAGCTGGCCACCAGCGATGGTCTCTCCCAAAACCGGGCTAGAGATCAGCCCAGCTCTCAGAGAAGGTTTATATAGCACAAAAAGTTACAAAGGGGGGTGTCTTGGGAACTTACAGCTAACAGGGTTTCGGCAATCATAACACAAGGGCAGAGAGCAGATTAATGATCCACATGCCATGATATTTCAAGGTAGGGAGTAAATTCAGATCCCAACATCAAAATTTATGAGGTGCTGCTGAGGTTTCAGAGAGGATTGTTATCTGGTCAAGTAGACCCAGGAATGGGTGAGTTCAGAGCACGGGAAGGAATTCCAAACAAGTTTAGAAATCTCAGTAATTTATAGTAAAACAGAAATGAACTTTCATGACTTTGTGACGAGATGGCACCCAATCTTAAAATGGAATTAGGCTGGGTTTATCAACACCTAAGGGAGGATTAAGCTCTGTTTCTCTAAATACTCAAGCCATTTTAACAAATATTTTTCTTTTAAACATCAAAGTCTATCTTGAAACACTTCAGGGAAAAAAGATTGGGTCTGGTCTACTAAGAGATACAACTTGGTAGCGAACACTTTGGACCCCAGAGTTAACGATAGGTTACATGTCTTAGAACAAACATCTCAACCTGTTAAAATAAACCAATGTGAAACTAGAAAAACCATCACCAGCTCTGCTATAGTGCCTAAAGTATCACAGTATCACTTAAAAGTACAGAGAAATCTTATCTCCCCTTTAAGTAGATATCGTCATGCCATACAGATTTTAATAAATGTTAACAAAAACAAAGAACAACAACAAAAAAACTTTGAAAACACATCAGGAATGAAGGTAAAGTGGGGGACACACGTATGAGTGGTTCTTCAGAAGCTTAGTCTACTTCTTCCATGCATGATGCGTCGTCGTCTCCTTCCAGGGGTGGCATCTCTTCGGTTACAGCAGCCTGGTGTCATCGGCAGTGGGATCATCCTCATCAATACCTAGACCAAGTTTGATCATCCTGTAGCTCCTGACCCAAACTGCAGGCATGCTCTATACATTTTGGCTGCCAGTGTTTTGTCAGATATATGTGTTGCAAATATTTTTTGTAGTCATTGCTTGCCTTGTAATTTTCTTAATGGTATCTCAAAGCAGAAGTTTTTATTTTGATTTCTTCAGTGTATCAATTTTATTTTTTATGATTCATGCTTTTTGAGTCCAAAGACATCTTTGCCTATCCCAATATTGCAAAAACTTCCTTTTAAATGTCTGCTAGGCTTAAATTTTACATTTATTGATGATCAATTTCAAGTTAATTTTGGTGTATGGTGTAAGGTAAGTGTTGAAGTTCTTTTTAAATGAATCACCAGTAGTATCAGCACTGCTTGTTGAAAAAGATCATCTGTGCTCCATTGAATTACTTTGGTACCTAAGTTAAAAAATCATTTGGCTACTGTTACATAGTGAGGAATTTTATTGGCATTTGGCAGGGAACAGTGGCCATTAAGCAGAATTGACAGGTCTGTGGGTTTTTTGGGGGGGAAAGAGACGTCTCTGGATCAAGGGGAGTTAGAAGCAATTTCCAGAAGGTGAGCCTGAGCTGGCTGCCAACTCACAGGCTCAGCAGGGGGCTGTTTTAAGGCTAGAGCCATTTAGAGGCAGCTGTGATGAAGGATGGAAATAGAGATCCCATGTGTCTGGTCACTATAAAGTCTTCTGAAAGGTGACAATCTTCCCAGGAGCTCCTGTGTGGTCACCCTGCTTCTCTCCCTTGGTCTGCCTATTTCTGCCCCTGTTGACTTGCCTCCCCAGCTTAGCCTCAGGCATCAAAAAGGCTGCCCGGGCTGCTGCGACTGCAGGCCTCCAGTGAGGATTCATGAGAAAGAATCTGTTGACTAGCACTCCCTAAAATCCCACGGGGCACAGGCAGTGAGCATAGCAGATAATGAGTGGCACCCAGGACTAGGCCCACGTTGGTCACACTTTGGTGTCCCAAGTCGAGACCCAGACCTCTGAGCATGTCATGCTCACCATCTACCCAGCCAGAATCGGCTCTGGCTTCTCTCTTGGACATTCCAAGTCCTTATTTCCTGGAGAAACTCTCAGTGGGGGAGAGGACACAGGGATTCAGGACAGGACCCTGCAGATAGGAGGGGCAGTGCTAAGAGGAGGAAAAGAAGCTGGTTAGACATAGTAGGGGAAAAGAAAAGGGGGTCTGGCCTGGCAGCCAACCTGTCTCTGCTGTGCCTGTGTATCCAGCTATGAGCAGGAACATCTAGTCCTTGTATCTGGAAGGTGCCTCCAAGGCACTCCCAGGAAAATGGCCATGCTCCCAGCTTTAGTCTATCTGCCCAGATTCCAGATCTAGAGTGGCCTCTCCCCACCTCTCAGGGCACTTGGTCAGCCCCACTCCTGACCCAAATCGTTCCTTCCCCTGCTTGCTTGTCCTTCCCTGCTTGGGAGTCTCAAGGACGTGAGCCCAGGGCCAGGGCCCAGTCTCTCCCCTACAAGGGAGCAGGGTTCTGTGGTCATCTGGCTGCCAGGGTCTGGGTGGTACTCATGAGGTTCTAGGGTTATATAGTTTCCAAATGGCATGCAATTGTTCTCATTCTCTCCCCTCTCAAACTGTCTGAATCCTGAGGCCTCCCCAGTCCCTACCCTCAGAAGGTCCCCAGGATTTTGAGAGCGGGGGTGACCTACACCTTAAAAAAAGTCCAACAGTCTCACAACAAAATGTTTAGAGTGAATATCTATGGTTTTCAATGTATCAGGGCTGTGCTGAGTACTTTACACATGTTGGCTTCTTTAATTCTAACAGGGAATCTATGAAATTAGTACTTTTACCATTCCTTTGTACAAACAAGAGACTAAGCTAGTAAAGGCCAGTGGCTTATCCAAAATCATGCAGCTAAGTAGGAGGGCCAGGATTAAACCTAGGTGACCTTGGACAAGCTTGACCTTGTCCATTGAATGTTGATCACCCTGCACACTGCCTCCAGGGACAGGCAGATGCCTGAGTTCAACATCAAAATGGTTCTGAGATTCAGAGTACTGACAGGCATTGTAGCCTGCAGTCTGTTTAGTCCCCATTTCCTTTTGGGAGGCCCAGAAGCCAACAAAGGAGTCCAAGGCAACACTTTGGATTAATGGTGGAGCTGGGGGCGGGTATGTGCCAGT